TATAAAATTAAATGTACCAATAAAATTAATTAAAAAAATAAGATATCTCCATTGACATTCTTAAAAATATTTTTGAAATAAATTTAAAATTTATTTAATAAATAAGTTATATTGTGTCTTGCTCTAAACATGCAAAAATCTAAAATTTTATAATATCCAAAACAATATAATAAATCCTATGTAAAAATATAAATTTATTATCTTCATTTAATGATTACTTTTCAGTTTTAAAATATATCAAAAATATAATTTACTTGAATTATTCATTTTCTATATCTTTAAAAGAATTTACATTTTTAAACCTTGATAAAAATAAAAGATACAGACAAATTCATTGTGAGAACTTTTATTCTTTTGAACTAGCCACGGATTTAAAGTGTGAAGTGAGATTAGTAGTAAGAATACCTCTGGTTTATAGGAATTACTTCTTTTTACTTCTGCCAGTATTTTGAAGAGAAACGTTATTGAGAGAATACTGGGTACAATATTAACAGAATTTAATGTTTGCTTTGCCACTTGGAAAACCAACAAAATGTCTTTATATCATTTTAGAGAAAAAATTGTGAAAAATCAAAGTGTTTAGATTCCAAATATGAAAAATATTGCAATTGACACAGGTTATAAATTTCTCAAAAGTTAGTATGTAAAACCACAATATTAATTATTGGTTTTGTTTATTTTTTTCAGTAGCAGGAATCAACAGAGCTTGTGATAATTATCGTCTGGCAAACATGATACTTTATATTCAAACTAAAAGAAACTTGATGTTTGCTTGCTGATGCATTATAATCTATAGATTGATCTATATGATTCAGTGCATGGTTTTCAAAGCAGACCCTGAGGAGTGCATAGGAAAGCAGATCATTAGCTCCACCAATCTGGAAGGATCTAATTAGGCAGAGACTGAGAGTACTCCTAAGAGTCCATATTTGGACAAGTCTTCCAGAATATTCTAACGAATGCTAAAAATTGAAATTTGTAGCTGTGTAAAATGTGTAGTACCAGATAATGTTTAAGAATCTATATTCACTATTGTAGTATAAATAATAAATGGATTAGTTGAGAGTAATGCCTGTCTTATTTTGTACTGTAGATGTTTAAATATTTAGCAAGGGCAGTCCTTGTGTTTGCTGTCAATTGCATTAATAGATTCTTTCTACTTGCAGACAAGATTGGCTATAATGACATGTGTTTTCCGGTGTTAGACGATTATCTCAAAGTTATGTCTATTATGTGTTTATCTATAACTGACTCTCATGGCTAATGGTAATGTCCCGTGGTTTATGAACTCTTATTCCATCTGGCTTCTTCAGTCTGGTTTCCTTTGTCTGTCTGTCTAACTAACTCTGTCTCTCTGTCTTTCCGTGTCTCTCTGTTTCTCTGTCTCTATTTGTTTCCTTCTTTGTGTCTTTTTCTGTCTCTCTGTCTCTCCCTTTCTCTCTCTCAACTCATTTCTTAGAATTTGGGGCTATCAAGAAAAAAATCTGGAAAACTACAAGTAACATATTCTCTTTCTCTTTGACAAAAATTAATAGATAAAAATCTCATAATTTTAACAAAAGAAACAACTGTACCAACGTCCAAAAAATATTATAATGCAGAATTACAGTGTCTCATAGAACACTGAAGATTTTTAAAAAGGAAAATATTCTGAGTCATCGCAGCTAGTGGCCTTCACCACTTCTACATCCTGTGTGTGGCCTTTGGGGAGAAAAATTACTTTTAGTTAAAACTTGTGTCTGAAGATGCTCAGTCAGTGGGATAAATGACAAACATAAAAAATATAGCAGAGATTGGAGTTCTTGGCTTTTATCCTATAGATATCGGTATTGAATTTTACCCTTCACACCATAAAGCATACAATGCAGTTCTCCTCCTAAAGCGATTACTGTATATAGATTATATACAGATTAAAATTTTAAGTTATTTTATATTTATTTAAATGTTGGAATATTTTGGGCCACAATACTGACATTTTCATATATGATAATGAACTGTTTTTATACAAATTTTTTAAAAAAATGTTTCTAATTTCTCACAATAGAAAAGAAAGTTATTTTACAATATCTGTATCTAATTAGACTAACATATCTAAATATATTGTATTTTTATTATAGAGAGACATATTTAAAAATGTACCCATTGTTTGTAGTTGAACCCAACACAATTGTTTCATCCCTTGTGAAACCAGTAGGCACACCCAGGAGGTAAGTGTGGGGAAAGGTTTATTACTTCATAAGTAAGTAGAGCTGTGGAATTCACTTCCAAAGGTGTGTCCCCCTGAAAAAATACAGTGAGAGGATTTTTTTGGGGAAAATATACATAATCACCTTGGAAAAAAATGGTCATTGTAGGTGGGCGCATCCCTAAGCACGCTGAGTTTAAAGATAGTTTGCTACTACAACTATTACAAAGGAATGGATGTGTTGCCTCCTGGGCATGTAATACAGCATTCAAAAATTATAATGAGCAAAGCCTTTGTAGGTCACAGAGAATCAGAAAGGCTCAATGATTGTGTCTGGGAACTTGTGGATTTTTTTTGGGGGGGGGTTATTTGAAATGAAAAATTACAGAAATTATTAGTCACTTAAATGGTCAGCAGCTTTCTCCCTGCAAATATAGAAGCCTATTCATAAAAGTTCTTTCCTACATCTAACACTGGAAATTTGATCATTCATTATATAATTTTGTTGATTCATCAAATTAATAATGAGCAAGTACAAAATTAAAAACGAAATGTGATAATTTACCAGTCATGGTTTTATAAAAAAGAGAGTTCTTTTACACTACATGTATCTAATTTGACTATCGCATTCAATTTACATGTTGTACAAAACCTGAGTTAGGGCCGGGGATTCAGCTCAGTGGAACTGCACCTACCTTGCAAGTGCAAGGTACTGAGTTCGATCCCTGGTCCAAAAAAAAAAAAAAAAAAAAAAAAAGACAAAACCTGAGTTCACAACTGTTAATTTCTTATGGTTTTTATAGTATTAATTTTGGAAAACTAATATTAAAATATATACTTAGAATGTAAAATTTTCCATATAGCTTTGTCTAATTAGGAGCACCATTTGCCTTCTGACTTTAAGATTAATGTTTAAACCACTTTCTTGATAACATTAGAATGAACATTTTAGTTTAGATGCAATTATTCTAAAACATACATATTGCATATCTGATGTATATAAAAAGGCAGACCCAGGTATCTGGTTCTTAAATAAGTGCAGAGTTTCAAAAGTTGTTCAGAAAATAAAGGGTTTATTCTTAGGGGATAGAGAGAGGGGTTTCCCTTTGAAGAAAGTGGATTGTTTTTTGGACATATCCTTTGGGATCTTTGTTTGAAATGTTAATTTGAATAACAGGTTTAGAGAGGCTTAGGACAAGAGATAAACGTAGCTGACAGCAAAAGTCACCCTTTGGGGAATCTTTTCTGTTTCACTGACTCTGTGGTGCTTAAAGTAGCTGAAGTTATAGCATGCTATCCAGAAAAATTGCTGAAAAGTATACAACACACTATTTCTGGCAGTACCTTAGACTTCTCTATTAAAGAGGAATAATTAAGTTTTAAATGTATTTATATTTCAGAAAATTCAAACATTTAGAATGAAATATTTTATTAAGATATTACTTTTATTTATTTTTAATTTCCCCCAGATTTTTCTGAGGTAAAGTTGACAAAATTGTAAATTTTTAAGATGTACAAGGTGAGGTTTTGAATCAGTTATGCATTGTGGTTATCAAAATCAAGTTAGTTGACATATTCATTATCTTACATAGGTAGTAAGTATTTATATATCATGGTGAAATTACTTAAGATCTACTCTCTCAGCAATTCCTGATTCACTAGTACATGCATCTTACAATTTATTTTCACAAATAATGCCATTAATTTTTTTGTATCTTTTCTAAAGCAGATCTACAGAAGACATTCCATCTTAGTTGATAACTCAAATGTACAAACACTCAAAGCAATTGTAAGTATTTAATTATAGGTTAATACTATTAAGAATTATTAAAAACAATTTGAATCAAATATTTAAAAGTACAGATATGTACTCTGACCTTACAATATTTCTATGAGTAACAGCAAAGACAAAAGCCATAATATGGTGTCAAACAAGAATTAGTGGATGCAAATGGTTCTATACTAAAAATATAGACATATATTATTTGTCTTAAAATAAATTTCATTTCCATTTCCATTATTTCATCTCTGAATTGACATTTTGGATTGCACCTTATATATTACTGACAGGCAGAAATGAAAATTTAAGCTTCACTCTTAAGGTCAAGATGTTTCATTAAGTGGAATATTGTACTGGAGTAGAAACTCTGAGGAAAAAAAACACCTAAATTTAACAAATCTTATCAATTTCTGTCATTTAAGTCGGCCATTTTTTCTTTCTCAGTTGTTAACACCTTTTATGCTAGTTAGTAGAGGAATCTAAAATTGGCAGAATATTTGGAAAGATTTTCTATGAAAACAACAGTGAGTACCTTTATATTTGTAGTATAAAACCTTGTGACAGTATCATGACAATGTGAAACATTTTTCCTTTGTGACTTTTTTTATTACTAAGGAAAGAAAATATCCCATGTTAATAAAAATCCTGTTAAACCTTTTCTCATTAAATTACTTGTCATGTGGGGGATTTAACTACCAAAATAGATTTGGAGTGGTACAGGTAACCAAATAAGATGAAGCCTTGGAAGAAAAATAATTGATTAGAGATATTTTTATGACTTGAGCTCCTAAATTGATATTGACTGAAATAGGAAAACAGATGGATAATTTAGATTGAGATGATTAATACTGCTATGAAAAGATGAAGTGATAAATATCTATTGAATGTTTACTGGGGTAGGAATTAAGTAATAATACATAAGAACATGGAAGTCACAAAGCTATTTATGCAAACTTGGGATGGTCATTTAAATATGTTCAGATAATCTAATACTTTGTGTCAACATAGTGGACATGAACAAATATTTATTACAGATAAAATATTAGCAAATATAATACATTGCTATATTTAAAAAAGATCTGTCTTTTTTAATAGCATATAGAGGAGAAGATAAAGAAGAATACAGCTAAACACTGAGGCTTGTACATACATGTGGGGTAGCCTCAGATTGAAAGAACAAATGAATGTTGTGTCACACTGATGCTTTAATGGTTTCTTAGTTGACAAGTGTGGCATGATTATTGACAAAGAGGACTTCTAAGCATCTCACAATGAGGACTAGCTAGAATTCTTCCAAGGCCAATATTCCTGCGAAAGATTTTGTGGATCTGAGATGCAGACTCAGTCTATATACATGCAATGACAGAGCAATGGAGAACTTGAGTTATTTAAATGTCTCATATACTAAAGTTACCTTCCTGTATTCACTTCTCTCTATGATCGCTTCTAAACAAAAATACCACATTAGTATACACTGTAGAGTCTAGTAGATCATTTCAAATAATCCACTTGGCTAAAGCAATACAACTAATCCTTATTGACTTTATTAATTGGTATGGAAACAGAAGCATCTGCTAGATCAATAACTTCATGGCAGAAGGAAGTAGCTAGGATGCTCTTTTCCTAGACTGACAATGAATCCAGGAATATAACCATAACTGGCTGCTACTGAGTATCAGAACCTGGTACAGTGTGTAATCATCTACAGTGTTGCTCTAAGGATAATCTTCTTTTACACAACCAAATGTGTTTTTATCTTTGTAAACATAATGCAATAAGTTGTACTTATTAATCCACACAACTATTTAATAATGCAAGCACTGAAGTGTAAAAAAGAGAAGCTGGGTGTGGTGACATTCTTGTAATTCCAGTCTTTGGGAGGATGAGCAAGGAGGATTGTGATTTAAAAGCCTGCCTGACTACATAGAAAGTTCAATGGAAGCTTGTACTATTTAGTGAGACCCTGCCGCAAAAACATCTAAACCAACAAACAAATTTTTAAAAAAGGAAAGGAAAGTAGAATAGAAATAAAATAAATGAAAACCAAAATGTTACTATTTGTTTTTATGAATAAATAATTCTCAATATAATATAATGTACTATTTTATTTTATTTTTTTGGTACCGGGGATTGAACACAGATCCTTGCGCTTGCAAGGCAGGCTACAGAACTGCTGAGCTAAATCCCCGGCCCTGTACTATTTTGTTTTGAAGAAAATAAATATGTATTTTCGTATAGTTTCAATTTCAAAATAATAGCTTGCTTATTATTTACTTATTTGTTTATTTTCAGTACCAGTGATCAAACTCAGGACCTTGCACTTGCCAAACAGGCGCAGTGCCACTGAGCTACATACCCAGCCCCATACTTGCTTTAAAATAATCATAATTTCTAAATAAGTATTTTCCTTTTTTGTATTTAGGTAATGTTTGCACCAATTTATAAATATTTAAATAACATTTTATTTATGTCAATATATCAGAACCATTACAAAATGTGTTTTGCTTATAAGCACATCTGAAAACATTTGGATAATTGATAGGAAAACTAATCCATTGACAGTTTAACTTGAATTATATATTATTAAATGTTATACAAAACTGCTTAGCATCTGAATAACGGAGACAGAGACAGGTAATGTAGACTTAGAGAACTATTAGCAGAAAAACCAATTTCTGAATCACAGTTTTCTTCAAAGCAGTAACAACAGGTAGAATAAAATATAACAGTGATTTCTTTGTGCTTATCACCCCATAAGCAAGGTAATAAGAGATATATGAATATATGTGAATATGAATATGGTATATGAATAAACGGAACTGATAGGTAGGCAAAGGCTGCTGAAATTCACTATTTTGTTTTATAGCTGAGAGAGGCAATTGTTTCCCACCTCTTTCCTGAGTGAGAGATGAGAGAGGAAGTGAGGGATTGAGGGACAGAGGCAGTAGGAGAGGAAAAGAGGGAGAGACCAATCCAATCTCTTCAATGTAAACACATTATTTTATCTGTAAGAGTAGTAGAATCCTAGTTCATTATCCTTTGAAATTTAAATACATACCTCCAAAGAGAACATAAGGAAAGTGTCTTCAAATTTATAATCTAGGGTCGTATTTTGAAATTTAAGCACACAAGGAGGTAATTCTATAAATTCTCTAGAGATCTCATGCTAAACAACCATCTTTTCTGCTAATGCAGTCCGTACTCTGGAATGGAACCCTTTAGTTCCTGGGGAGATAAAAGAAGACGTCTTATTTTTCACATAGAAGAATGTAGAGACAAATGGTTGCAGATCTACTACTCATGGATATAAAAGGCAATGTTTCAGGAGGAAGTAAAATCAAGTATTCTGCATGCATGTTACATGTCAAACCCATGAACACAGAGGCTAATTTTTGGCAGGAACACTAGGAAATCTATGGGGAGATTTAGTTTCCTATACTAAGTATTTTTTGTCTTCTGTAATAGTCCTATTTGTGTCAACCTATGAAATAATGAGCTCATAAAAGCACAAAATCTCTCAAGTCATACATTATCACTCATGACTTTTCAAGGACTAACTTGATAGAATATTTGCATTCAGAAAGGCTGTGATGGGTTACTGATCGATTCCATCAGTAATAATGAAAATGTGTCCTGTCAATCCCCACCTAACTGCAATCTACAATGGCAGATTACTTCTTCCATTTTTTTGTTTTGTTTTTTAAGAAATTTAACTTTTAACACATATTTAGTAATATTTTGCTCATGAAACTTAATTCATTTATTCAAACTGATTATTAAGAAGGAGTTTCTATTATTTGAAAGGAAGGAAGGGAGGAAATGGAAGAAAGAAACAGGATAAATTTTAATCTGTTCATACTATTGGAATTAACGCAATGAGGATACATTACTCTTAGTATTATAAGTTTACAATTTATTGTTATCTAGTAAGAATTTCATTTTAAAAACCTTGTGATAAATGCTATTTTAAGGATATCTTATTGGTCAAAGACTAGACATTAATATGTCCTACAACATCCTTGGTCATCAGATTCTGGACATGTTTCCTGACTGTGAAAATATATGACAGCTATGCAAATCACTCTTATTCACTGTGCCTAATTCCCTATATTCTAAATTCTTGCCAAAACTCCAATGCTTTTTTACAAATTTCTGTTAATGAACACAGTATTTTCTTTGATGAAAATGATTGCCTAAATATTTTTCAGAGGAATGATATAGATGTGGGGTAATAAATATATCATATAGTATACAAACTAAGAACACACTTTGCTATGATTTGACAAAATGAATTCACCTATACAACTGCTCCTAGCACCTGGATCCTCTTTTGTACCACTTCTGTGTTTCTCTCTCTCCTGCCCATTGCCCATAAAAAGTGGCACTCTTCTGAGGCCTACCAGCTTTTGTGGCTGTAAAAAGGTTTTTTGAATGTATTGCTTAGGATTTTGTAGAGGAAGAGAGTTCACTGAAAAATGTAGATATAATTATCTTCTTGATTTATTAGGTAGGCTTACAGGATTCTAGATAGCAGAGTTCACCATCGCTGCCTCTATACACTAGGAGATCCAGCATAAAATTTAAATTATTTATAAACATACTAAGAGAGCCAAAAACAACAGAAGAAAGAAAAGAAAGCGTATTCTTTAACTTTATCCAACTTAACCATTACAATTGTAGGTTATTAATAAAATTATATGTAGATTTATTTATTACATGCTGCTTTATCATATGTTAAAATAAAAAAAAGATTTGAATAGCAATAATTAAAATGAAGAAGCTGGAAAAACAATGAACAATTTTAAGTGAACTAAAAACTAAAAATGAACTAAAAAATACTTTACCTATATTCTAATTTTCTCATTACTACTTGTCATCCAGGAGAACCCAAACAAGACACCAAATACTACAAGATCCAATTCCTCCATTTATCAATATAAATACAAATACATATTATTGTTAAATCCATGAGTTTTATATCTCTTCTGAAAGAATGC